TTTCCCAGGTCGATTTAAAAATTAAATATAACTGAAATGCATATTTATGTAGCAAAATACTATTTAAAATGCATCATAAATTAAATTAATTAAATTTCATTATTAGTTATTTAATAATAATAATAATTTGAATGCGTAAACAAATTTGATTTAAAAAATGTTCAGTTTATTTTTATTACCTCTCTCCGCGCATTTTCCATACAATTTTATTTGCATCATTTCATTTTCAGATATTTAATGCTTTTATCCGTTGTTATTCTGCTGCCATACTTAGGGAGAATCATGGGTGAGTAAACTTTCATATTATTCAAATTATTCAACATCCAGATCCATCATATTATTGCTTCACGTTAGATAAATTTTTTTTATGATAGACACTAATGTAACGAAAGCTTTGATATTAATTTCAGTATCATCTGCCTAATACCTTCTACCATAATCATTTATTACATTTTTCGTTACCTTAAAAAATCCGAAATTTTTATAAAACAATTCAACACGAACTTTTAAGAGTCAGTTAACAAGCAACGTAAACTAAAATGAGAATGTAAAAACACAGCGCGTGAATAAACACACACCAGAGACCATCACTATCAAAACGATGTTACGTCAAAATGTCAATTACTGTAAAAGTTGCTTCTTTTACTAGAAGTTTAATCCTTCGTCGCCTAAAGTTAAGTCTGTCCTTCCCGTGATGTAATCATATCGTTCCTCGGATGTAGCTATAATCACTTTTATAACTTTCCCATTTCTGTCAGCTCTCCACGAGCGATACCGGCACTAAAACGGCACTACGTTCATGAATAAACACTCATACGAAACATCCACCAGCGTCAAAATGCCGTTTGCATCGAAATGTCAATTTACGCGAAAAATTCTCAACATCCTGCAATTCCAGCATATGAACCGTTCGGCGGAAAATATAATAGCAATATACAGAAGTAACATAAACTTTCAATGTATACTAATTTCCATGCACTAGCACTTCGGGATGACATAAAATTTGAGTTCTTTTCTCCTATACAGAACCATAAAAACTATGACAAAAAGTTAGATTTTAAATTTATTAAATTTTCGCAAACGTATCTTCTATCTTTTTTCTTTGCTCTCCAAAATATAAGAAATGGCTTACAGTCGCTAATTCGCCCAGCGGTTCATACATTTCCCTCTGAATTTCCTGAATTTTCTGAAGGCTCGACGAAAATCTCATGCTGGACAGCCACCAGAACGGAGTTGGTACCTTGGCGTGCCCCCAGCTACCGGTAATCCCGTCACAGGACGAGACGCACGAAGAACCGATGAGCCCTGATGAGGTCAAACCCGATCGCCAGGAGTCCGTCAGCAGCGGGGTCACTACTGGCAGTAGTCGAGCCGCGTCTTTCGAGGAGGCCAGCACTAGGAAGGTCGCCGTGTCCGTACACAACGAACGCACGTTGCTGCCGAGCTATTCCTTGAAGTCCACCAACGACTTCATCGAGGTGTTACAGGGCAAACAGGACACAGTGACGAGGACGAGCGAGGTAGTTCACAGCGGCATGACCAAGAGCACGTCCAGCGACAACCAGGCTTCCCTCGGAGTATCACCCTCGGTGTCTGGTGCTGATCCACCCGCGGCACTCCTCGGTGCCTCTACCAGCTCACTTACCTCGATCGCCAGCTCGGCGGCGTATCGACAGCCATTGGCGAGGCATCGCCGCTTCTCTCCCGGATGCATCGATGAGAACGATCTCAGTACACCGTACAATCATTACAGATGTCTATCGCCCAACGAGTATCACAGTACGTGTTAAGAAATTTAAGAATCTTTCATTTCCTTATTTCAATTCCTTATTTCTCGAAGTCTGAAAATTAATTATTTCCTCGAAATCAAATTCAATGATTGATTAATAAATGTTATCTTCTGAATTTGAGAATTTTTAGTTGTAAGATGAAAATTTCAAAACATATAAAGAAACGATATTTCAAGATATCTGACCTCATTTTTGGTGATTGAATTATTTATATTGTATATAAATGAGATTTTATAAATGTGTATATACAGGGTGTTTAGTGTAACGGTCCGCACAATTTCTCAGATACTTCCGACAGTTAAAAAAAAAGTTAAAAGGTGAATATTCATCTGTTTTATGCAGGCTGCGATAAAAGAATTTAAAAAATTTTTTTTTCATACAAAAATCAAAGTCATATTAAATTTTTTAAATAGCACCATATTTTTTCCATAATACTGTAGGGGTCTTTAAGGCAAATTCAAATCACTACCGAAATGTCATTTTTATTGATGTTTTATTGATATTTAATATCAAATTTGTAACATTATTTGTAACAGTACTTACAACCTTTGACTAGAACACAGAATACATACAATACATGCATATATGTACTTATTTAATAAAATACGCAATAAAATCATAAAATATTAATAAAAGTGACATTTCGACAGCGATTTGAATTTGTCTTGAAGACTCCTACAATATTATAAAAAAAAATTGTAGGTGCTACTTAGAAAATTTTATTTTGATTTCTTTATGAAAAAAATTTTTTTAAATTTTTTTATCGTATATTGTAGCTTATGTAAAACAGATAAATTTTCACCCTTCAATCTTTTTTTTAACTGTCGGAAGTGTCTGAAAAATCATGCGAACCGTTACGCTGAACACCCTGTGTATGTGTGTGTGTGTATGTATAAAGTTTTTCTGCATTTAGATTATTACGGAAAATTTTATTGGAAAAATATTGAATTATCCAAATATTTTTAATATCACAAAAGTATATGGGATTTGCAATTGACGTTATTGATCTTGCGTTTCTAACAGATAACATTACTTTTTCTGATTTCAGCGAAGGCTCCCGGATGCCGGATGCTCAAGAGGCAATTCAGTTTGGACCGTCCGGATGAACCGGTGTCCATAATCCCGGAGCAGCTCCCACCGAGGTCAACTCCTCGTCTCTACAAGCAAAATAGCGCGGGCGCGGCCAACGACTTGGAGAGAATCGAGGAAGTGCCACCAGCCACTCCTAAGCCCCTCCTTCAAAATTATCGTCACGCTGCTTCCGTGTCCCTTTCCGTCGAGTCCCTATCGTTACGTTAAAATCCCTGTTGAGAAAAGTTTTACGAGCAGAAAATCGAACATGATACGACGTTCATCGCGATACGAGCGTAACACATTTGGAGCAGCGAACGATTCATTTGGAGACACGCAAAGAATCGCTTTCACGATGTAATTGATAAAAAGCCGTGTAAACGAAAGATTGAAATACAGTTTTTATAATCGTAGATCTCTACTTCTAGAGAAAAACAAGAGATCTCGGTTGAATTGAGATTAGAAGTTAATCAATGTTGACGACACCGACTCTTGACGATCACAGTCGAGAAAGAAATGTTGGCTCGGAAATTTGATCGCAATAATTTGTCTTTGAGGATCGGTATCTTTCTGAATGTGTAAAAGGATGCGATTACTGTGACTTGTTGCTGCTCCGTATTTTTATCTATATATACATTGTATTGATGTCTGATAATACCCGCAGGCAGGGAATCGTACGAACGCAATTCGTGATAGAGATTTAATGATTTAGGCGTGTTGTTTAACAAATAATCGTTGGTGCAAAGAAAAACTCCCTAGGACTTATGAGCAATCCGCTCTTTTCTCCAACGTGTCTGTATATACTTATCAATCTTACATGCTTCAACGACAACATGTTTCATCGATAACTTCCGCTCAACGACGCTGTCATACATCTACGATCCTCGACGCTGAATTATTAGCAGCCCAGATAGCACAGATATTTAACGGTTCCTCTTAGACGTCTATCTTAAACATTTATCGAACGTTTAAATGATATACAATATTCAGAATTCTGAATATTTTGGATATCCAAGAGGTTCCATTAAATTTTTATGTCTAAATTGGAACTAGATATAACTTGATTCCTTTATTAGAACGTCGAAATCTTAAGCAAGTAATGTACTTCTCGTGTTTTCAGATTTTTCACATTACTGCGTAAGAGTAATCTTTTTTACCTTGCAAAAATTAACAATTATCCTCCCTCCCACAGTCGTCAACGAGCGTATACTCTCGCTAGATGTATTCCTAAAAGTGCGTTCAAGGAGACGCCATTAGCGCCATTCTATTCTTGTTGTACATCTAATAAACAACGAAGATAGAATGACAGAAGTAGCGCTAATAGCGTATCCCCGAACTCACTATAAAACGTCTCCCTCAAGCGAAAATTTAAAGTCGATTTTACTAAGTGGGATTTTAATGTTAGAAAAAATCATTTCATGTATCTTGTGGAAGATATAAGAAAGTTCCAATTTCATAAACTTAAAGTGGATCTTAAGCTAATAAAGGCAAGACAGATAGCAAAATAATACAAAAGGAAAAATATTTAATTAATTAATCAGTCGTTTATAATTTTTTGCTAAATATATCTTGATATAAAATTTATTCTTCAAGAAAGAACCTTCTTCAAAAACGTTGAATATATTGTTCTCGTACACACACATATACATTATATATATAGCCTTTATGTAATAATTATATTTCGATCGAAACTTACGATGGACTATGATGTCAATCGAGAAAGAAAGTTACATAGGAAAGTTACGTAGGAAGTAATTAACTATCATCTCTCAATTATGGCAGCAGAAAAGTACTTCGTCGATCAGCAGGTACGTAAATGTAAATGTGATTAATATTGTTGTTATTTCCGGCCTAATAATTTCATGATGAAGTCTCCGATGTAGGCTTTCACGGTCTTCGGTGTGGATTTTATAATAACGAATGGATTAACAAAAAGCATTATTCTCTTAAAGCGTGAGCGTTGTGCGCAAAAAAAATGAATAATTCAGTCATGAATAATTAAAAACTTTATCTAAACTTAAATAAAAATTTTACATGCAAGCAGATAAAGCATAATTATATTTTTAATAATAAAACCCATATTTTTTTCTAATGTCTTATTTTATAAATTTAACATTTAAAAAGTAAAATATTTTCGGATTTTTGAAATTACAAATTCTTTAAATAAATAGCATAAATTTTTTTTCTATCAGAAATCGATTAAATACTATTTCTTTCTAGCAACTTTTTAACATTTATTATTAATTATTTTAGTGAGCATTGATTTTAGTGAAAATTCTAAATTAGATCAAATTCTAAATTAAATTTAAGGTAGCTTGAAATTTAATAAAAAAATATAGTTTATATTTATAATATTTAATGCTTAGTCATTTAAATAAGTTATGATTTATATTAGTGACATTAATGTTTTAAGACAATCTATACATCTATACATTATTGTAAAATCACGACTTAGATAGTTATTGTATAATATATTTCAATCCCTTGTGTTAAGGATTCTCTGGAGCCAATGCAATTACAAGAATTATAATAGAATGGAGTTATTCAACTGACTTTCCTGATTCATTGCTTTAGAAAATCTTGCGGTCGACGAACGAAAATCAATCTTGTGGCGAGTCACGAATGACATAGAAACAAGATCGGTGACGAGAAGTTCTGGTACGTTCTCGCACCAAGTGAAATTACTATGCGGCACAGGTTCTCACTTTATGATCATAAACGTTTGGTAATGTCATGTCAAGCACATGGATGACGGAGTACGACGTAAACATCCGGAGATCTTCCAGTGATCATAATAGACGATACTTCGATCGGCTTCTCCTCGAACGACGTGCTATGGCTAAGGGATGTACTTTATTGTCGAAATGGGAGTTGTTCGATAAAGCTTCAAATTGTTTATTGATTTCTACATCCCTATTTGAATGTAACTTCCAAATTGTTTTGACCATATAGCGTCGTGCACAAAACAATTCGATCACAAAGTTCTTATAAAGGCATAACATTGTTCTTTGTTTATAACAATTTTCTAACGATTGTGTCAAACAAACATTTGCGTGAAACAAATATTTTTTATAATTATGTAAATATTAGAAGAAACTCATTCTTATTTCAACAAAAACATGATCGATCTTTTCCCAAGCAGAACAAGTCGTTATGATATCAAAATAAGGTCAAAATGACTCCAAAATAATTATTAAAAGTTATTTTTCAATCATTTCCGATTCATTTTGACGTTATCGTGATTTGTTGTTCTGCTTAGGTTCAATACAAAAGACATTTATGTATTGAATTAAAATGTGCCAACAATATTTAAACTTTTTAACATTTGACAATACGTAATAAAGAATAGAAAAAAATCATAATAAAGATATTATAATTAAATATCCAAAATGTATACCTACTTTTTAAATCTTCCTCAATATATTATAGTTGCTTTGTCACGGTCGATTTAACGTCATTTAAAGAATATAAATTGCAGTAATAAATTAAACAAAAGTAGATTAAGAAAATTAGGAAGCTTGACGACGATGAATACGATTCTCAGACACGAATGGCTGATAACAGAGAGGAAGGAAAGACACCCTTTTATCGCGAATGACAATCTCCACTGCGCTAATCTCTCGCTTTGGTATCATTTCTAACAATCACGCCAGAATCGGATTATTCCGCTGACTAGTTTCTCTAAAGCAGAAATGTAAAGCAAATTCATGTTTTACATGTACTCGAATTTTCTCATATATCCGCGTGCAGAATAACCGAAAAACGAATGTGGCTAGCCACGTCAAAAACTAGAATTCCATATTTAAATATACTCGGAAAATATCCGGATAATACTGCTTATCCGGATAATAATACTCAAATATTTACAGCTCTACCGTGAACATCGTGTCGTCCATTAATTTTCGTCCGTTTCTTAAAGCAGCTATCCTAACGTCGATGTCCATTTGCAAATCCGACATATTTACAGAAAGTGTCTGATAGTTATTTGAATAATTGTGTAAAAATATAATTAGTACTTCACATTCACGCCCATCTTTACATATGTTTTCTACGTGTCAAGATTCATATTTTTAGCTCGTCTGTTTTGTTAGGTTTAGCTTTGCTTCTGGTGATAATTGATTTCACTTTTCGACAAATAAAATTTGACCGCGCGAGCATCGTGGTAATATCTTCCTAAATTCTTTAAACGACTCACACGTGATACAAGAGTATCACGACTCTGTATCTGCTTGCCTATCTCGAGATTTAACCTAATGTTATATCAGCGCCTCTTTACATGGCAGTTCCAATAATTCTATATCCATACCAATACAAATACGAAATACGTATACGATGTTGTTTACAACTTTTGACTGTATTCTCCATGTACAATAATAAATGTGCGAAAGAGGAGCGAAACAGACACGTACTTGTGTACTCCTCACGAATATTATCGAAGCGAAATGGTAAACCAGTTAGAATTTTATGAACCATTTTCCCGAATCAAAAGAGGATTCGTTGGACGATAAGGGATTCTACTTTCATCCGCGGTTTATGAGTCTCGAATCAAATGCTCGTCGAGCCTGATTAGCTTCTCGACGAGTTTTCTTGTTCATTCGGGATAAAATACTATCCGATCTTTTCTAAATCAGCTTCGACGCAGTCGGTGCTAATCTGGACGACAATCGTTAAAGGATATAATCGCATTTTTTAACGTCACCGTAACAATAGTTATCCGATCACTTTCGATGGCTGTCCGTAATTTACACGAGAGAAAGAACTTTTGACAGTTTCGCATAATGCTCTCGCGAATAAAAAGATTGGGTTCATAAATATTCCATAGCTCGGAAACACGTGCGCAAAACATGTACACGTGGTTCGCGTACTCAACAGATATACGTACCTCGATGTAATTTGTGTAGTTACGTAGCCCACTAATGTTAAAAATATGAATATAAGTAGTTTGTACTTTGAAGCGATTCGCGTTCCATTCGACAGGCATCCTCGAATTCCATACGAATAGATTGTATACTTTTTTAAAATACTCGATTAATTCTTCGCTATTCAATTTTTATTCCCTTTGCACTTCCACTCGATATTTAATATTTCCACCCAGAAATATTTTAACTTTTAACATTTTCTTCCAACTTATTTCCATTTTAAGAAGTTTAATAGTGCATGATGTGCAATTTATAACGGATCAGAATACAAAATATAACAGGAAAATTGAATATAATATATTAATAATGGATGAATAAAAAGTTTAAAGGTCAATAAAAATAATTAATCTAATTCTAATTAATTTCATTAAAATTTTTTATTATCAAAGAGCAGGTACTCTTACTACTTTACTGTATCTTTTTCAGGAATTTTAATCTAATATATTTATATTTTAATACTATTTATTTATGTTATTATTATAAAACGGTAAAGATTAAAAATAATAAAATTGCTAAAATGAAATTAAAGTAAAATGAAATTAGGAAGCGCAAAGGGTTACATTTTTTACCTTACATTTTTCAAGGTGCCTATCGATTAATTTGAATCATAATGATCATTTGTTATCATTTGTGGCGTAGCAAATATGCACTTAATGCCCACTCATAGATAATTAAATGACAGCACGTAACATTAGAATGCTCAATTTGTCTCTACACATTTTTACAAACTAATTATAATTTATTAACAAGCAAGATACTGAATTAATCTGTTCAATAAGACTATAATAGAATCCTTTTCTAAATGATAAATACATTAGACAAACTTATAAACTGCAATCATATCACAAGTGGCTCAAATCGTCGGAGGAATATGAGAATGCACAAATTGTGCTTTCTCATATTCTAATATTAATACGCACATTTAACAGATTAATACGGGTTTATGTTTCTCTGTTGAGTACTTAAAATTAGCAGGATATTCGCTACGCTACTGGCCATCGTTTTCACATCTGTATCTGACTGTGTGAATAGAAGAGAACTTAATTATACACGTATGAATGTTACATGTTAAAAGATGTTATCGAAAGAATATCTAAATACATAGCGTAGCGATCGATGGAGACGGTTGGATATTTGTATATTTCAGATGCATCGTGCGATTATATACTCGTTATTAATACTTCAATGTTACTCGGTAACATCTTCGGCAATAAAGATAATCATACGGCCGTAAAACTGTCTATATATATTTCTTGCGTGTATATAGCAATCCTTTTCCTTTAATAATTTATTATCGAAAAACAATTACAGCCTTGTGAACTTTTCTAATTTACAAAACACAATTTAAAATGAAATTTTCATAAAATAAAGTAAAAATTAATAAAATTATACAATTAAATATTAACTATATTAATTATACATGTATACATTGAGAAAAATGTTCTGATTACGTCAATAAAAACATTCGACAAAAATCACATCTTCAGTGAAACCGAACAGGATTGGTTCTGTGTGTGGTTATCATAATCAGAAATTCTTTTTATCGTTATCAAAATACTATTCTGATTATTTAATACTATTCTGAGATCATTTATTAGTTCAACAAAATATTTATTTCTGATTAAAGTGTAGTTAAACTACACATTTAAAAAATTTAAAAATACTGTGCCAGAAGAAAATTTTGAATTAACATAATGGTAATGTTTTTTGTTGAATTTTTATCGTGTTTTTTTTTTGCAGAAATAGGAGTACAAATTTTAATAATTTTAATAACACTTGTATTATTTACAGGTTGTAATTTATTTAATCTGTAACATCAGTAACAAAAATAACAATCTCTCTGATTACGCTAGATACTCTTATTGTTATTCTTATACTTAAAATTGGGTAACCTGACTGAGACTCAACATGATGCACCCGTAATTATTGGCTGTTCCCAGAATTTCGAGGTATAACAAGGAGATCAGACTGGTACGCAGTTATACGCTGTAATTTAAATTGCATTCCGGATTTACCAGGAACTGTAAAGAAAAATCAGAAACATATTAAAGAGACTGTTTAAGAATAATCGAGAATAATCGAGAATAATCGTAATATCTAAATAATTTATTTAAACTGTTTTTAATATTTATTAGGTTGCTTTTAATATTTGTTGAGTAAGTAGAAATAACTTTAGTGTTAAATTTTTCTAAACGTTAATATATATTGTATCTTTAAATAAAATTTTATTTTCATTGAAATCACAAAATATAAATTAAACTTTAATATAATAGAGAGATTATATTTTATACCACACAATTATTAGAAAAGACAGAAGAGATTAGCAACTGGATTTCCTTACCCATAGGATGGGTCTGGTTGCGACCAGACTGGCGCAGCATACTCGGTATGCGGTTTATAAATAGGTTTTGGGACAATTCTCTCTATGTAAATGGGTTTCTCGACGAATTCCACATATTTCTCTGGTGGCGAAAGGTAAACGTGATGCACTTCCGGTGCACCATAATAACCAGCCTTGTAACTGAAAAGAAAATAAGAAATATTAAAAAAGGCATTTATTGCATTATGCAGAAAAATAAAGTACATTGATTTCATGTCGTGTCAACATTTTACATTTTATACGTCGATACATCAAGAATTTTAGCGTTAAAAAGAAAATAATAGGACTCTATTTCTCTTATGGCCAAAATAATAGGAATAGTAACTCTATACATATATTATTGAAATATATTATATATAATTCTAAAATACGTTACTGAAATATATATCTTGTTTTTTTTTTTTGCAAAATTTATCTTTATTAGTAATCAAGAGTAATAAAATAAAAATAAAACAAAATAAGAAAGAATATAAATTTGTTACCCTTTTGCGACTCCAAGACCGAAACCAAGAAGACCAGCGCCCAGCAGCTTCTTTTTCAAGAATAATGTTCTCTTTTCCCTGGTGTGTATCGCACCACCATCGACCTGATCTTCGATAGCGACATTTCCGAGGTCCAGAGATCGTTGATTCTGTTGGACAATCTCTTCCGCTGTTGCTCTCAATACGAGGAAACAACAAATAGTGGCAATGATGGTAACAATAGTGTGATACATCTCTGTTAAAAAAACAAATATTTTGTACGACATCGTATTTATCATCAATTTCTCCAAACGATATAACAACATTCGCAAAATACTAACATCTAACACCAATTTATAATAATAAACAAAATTTTTTATTCTTAAATAATTAACACAAACGTACGTGCACATATTCCAAGTGTGCAGCATATAACAAAAATTTAATTTTAATTTTACTTTACATTAATTTTAATTTTAAAAGTAGATCACATTTAAAATTAAATAATTTAATTTGAGATAAGTTCTAATCCGATTATAAATGAATTACACTAAATGAATTACCGCGTCTCTTCGGATGTAATACTGAGGTACGTTTATAAAATAATTTTATTAAAACATAAACTCGTTTCATTTGCCTAAGCGCGTTACGTATTGTGTCTTGTTATCGAAAATCAGAATCGCGATCGACAAGGAAGCAACAAGGAGTAAAGCGTGCAAAAAATTTCGCGTGCTTTCCCCAAGATCCTGTTTAATACTGGTGAACCGGTTTCACTTACCTTGCGTCTTAGTACAACAATGCACGGTAAAGATCACGATGATGATACACCACGAGGACAAGTACGAATACTGTGACTGATCGAGGAATCGTTCGATTTTATACCGACTCGCCTACCTCGCTACTGTTTGCGGCCATTATAAGCGCAATTCTGAAGCCACCTCCCCTTCCATAGCATCCTGAATAGGCGGCTTAACATCGGCTTTAGGACGATTAACCGTATTGTGACACCCGGGAAGTATTATTGCATACATCACTATAGCGACAGCTCGATCCTGTGCCATGTTGAGTGGAAGTTCCGTGGGAACTTTATAAATCTCTTCAATTTGCTTTGCTTAAATAAGGAGAGAGATTGATCTGGCGTAATTAATTTGCTTCAAAAAGATATTTCCACAATCAAAGCGTTATTTTAATCCTTTTCCGTACTTTAATATTTTCTGACTTCATATTTTATCCAAAAAGAACAAATTTTTCATTGCGGGATAAAAAACGAGTTACGATTTTTTTTTTTTGCTAGATATAATAATTGCAGAATATAATACGAAGTACACGGTAAACTTTAATCAATTGTGCATGCTAAAAGATTAATTATATTATACAACTATATCTAAAATCATTATATACTTTTACATTGCAATATAAGAATTTTCTGGAATTTCCTACCACGTTTCCATAATGCGACACGACGCTTCTTTCCTAAAACACCATATTTGGCGCTCGCAACAGTTTACAATTGCAATTTCTCCAGAAAACCTGTTCGAGGTTTTCTTCCGCTTTCGAGCTTAGGAAAAGTATCATGAAAGAGTAATCTATTACTAGCGATCTAGATCTCTGGATGAGACTTTATATAGACAGAACTTGGCAGAGCCGCATAGAGAGACGAATTCGAGGAAGTGAAAGAAAGTGGAGAGGTAATAAGAACATGATGCGGACGTCGCTTCGATTTATCAACCCTGTGACGTGACAAACAGATAATACACACTATTATCGGCTGCAACAAGTAGAGCGATGAAGGAAAGAATTGGAAGACACAGAGAGAGAGAGAGAGAGAGAGAGAGAGAGAGAGAGAGAGAGAGAGAGGCGCGAGAGGAGACAGGGAGAAAGCGAGAGACTGCGCAACGAATTTTCCATTCTTCCTTTGCGTGTGTACTCCACGTGGCCCGTCTTTCAGCGATACACGTGCTTCTGCCGCACGCAATCGCGCCTTGTTACGTTGCGATCTGATACAAACGCGTAATCATTGGCACGCACGCGGCCACACACGCGCGTATAAGTACGCGAAATGCGATCGACGATGAATGAATGACAATGAAACCCAATCCTCGCTCGCGATTATAATCTGACATTACGAACAATCCAAGCAGTGATCATCGATATACAGCTGGCGTATTTAAGTATTACAGCACTATAAGGATATCTTATCGCCAGTAAAACTGATGTAAATATTCGTCTCGTAACAATGGAAACTTAATAAAGAAAAAGAATTTGCGGAAGAAATAGTAAATATAGAAATAATAAGGCCCCCTCTTCTAGATTCTCGAGTTCACAATGTGCAATTAATTGTAATAATTAATTAATAAAATAATTACATGTACGTTTTACTAAATCAATTAGTTTTTACCTAATAGTTAATTGATTAATAATTCATTTTTTTCTCCGGAAGTTACCGCGTTCTTCATGATTATCAATACACTTTATTCTTTAATAACAAATAAAAAATGAAACGGCTGTAAGAATAAATCTAAAAAACAAAATAAATACCGTCAATAAAAGCCAGTAAATATTGGTGCGCAGTTAAATTCTATTATAACTGCAGAATCAACTTTTACAATTCGCAATGGATTTACTTTGTGAATTATAAAAGTTGACCCCCAGTTGTAATAAAATTTAACTACGCACCAATATCCACGCTGGCTCTTATTGGTGGGTTTTACTTCATTTTCTTTATCTTTTGTTTTTTATTTCTTGCTCATCCTATATAAATTGCTCATCCTTTTATAAATTAAATTATATTAATTTATTAACGTTGTTTAATAATATTATGTTTATATTTTAAAGTACAAAGGCAAATTCTGATTTTTTTTAAAAACATTCTTCTCTCCACCACATGAACTTAAACTGACTTAAATTCTAAACCTAAATCCACCGCTGGACAGGATTGGTGGAACAGGTGGAAGATGACACACGGCGCAATTCGGTAATCGACATAGAAAGTGTCCGAGAGTAAGAGCGAGCTTTCGCAAGTAGACGTGAAACAGGCGCGAAATTTCACCGACTGAGTCGCAAAGGTTGCCGCGAGGTGTGGGCGATGTATTTCCAATATTTTTTCAACGCTCCGCTCATCTCCCGCTAAGGGCGGCATAGCTCAACCTCAACGCTATTCGCAGTAAAAGACGTGCCTTCACGTCTCGCAAGTCTCACTGTAGAAACTGACAGGCCATTTGTGTAAGGAGATTAGCATGGAAATGGAAATTCAGTCCGCCCTTTAATAAGAGACGCTTCTGCATGCTAGAAGTATAGACAGCTTGTCGGGACAAAGTTCACCATTTTTGTTATCCTCTAAATTACATTCCCAGAAATAAATATGTTGTTTATTGCATCCCGCATAAATAGATCTAGTGTAATTTTGATATTTTATTTAATATTAATATTAATATAAAATTTAATTTAATTATTTGGTATAATTTAATATAATATAAAATTTAATATAATTAAAT